GGGAGGGGGCAAGAAGAGCAGCTACTCATTGACAGCCTGGTATCAGGGCAGGCTGTCTATCATTGGGCTCCCCTGGGGACGGAGAAGGACCCAAAGAGCAGCACCATTGCCTCCTGCTTGGCTCTGAGGCAACTGTGTAGCCTTCCAGTCAAGGGACTAGAACTCCTGTACAGCCCCCTTCTCCTCATGCTTTTCGTGGAACTGGAAACTGGAAATTCTTAGTGTTCAAATGGAACACCAGTCCGTACCCTAACAATAAGCATCATCAGTCCTGTATATCTGTCCACAAGATGTATCCTTTGAATTCAAGGTAGAGAGTACAGGGATACAGTGGACATTTTGCAGCCTCAGGGCTTCATCACATTCATTTCTTCTGTTCCATCCAAATGTCACCTACCATATCTACTCAAATACAAGAGGTTTTTTTCCCCTCAAACGTGCATGTGGGGGAGGGAGCCCCTCGTCTTACATTTGCATGCAAGGAAACCTCAGTGAATACATTGTCTATATCACTAAACTGCTGCCAGAAGCAGCATGTGTTCAGTAATGGAAGCCAACTATGAGGTTGATTAAATGTAGCCGACCCTAAGCTCGAGTATAAAACGTAGCCCATATGGGGCAAACATACTGGATTCTTATTTATTTTTTTGTGATAGTTGGTGTTTTGGGACAAGTCGGTTCAGAATTGTATTGGCTGAACAGAGCTCAATCATTCAAGTCTGTGTGGTGCTCCCACCAGCAAGTATTCTTCCTCCCAGCCTCTTCAGTCTGGGGCTTCAGATACTTCCAAATCCATAACAGGTATCCTATGTATGAGCTCCAAGCCTGGAGGCCTTGAAGTGCACATGCTCCCTAATCTTGCTTGCCCCCAGCCAAAAGACCAAAGGAGCAAGCTAGAGGAAAAGCCTGAGAGGAGTGCTAGGTTAGTACAGCCTATCAGAGTAAGATATGTGGTAGTGCCCATAGTGCACCATACCCCTTGATGCCAAATGTCTTTTTCAAGTCATGGTGAGCCAATACCTTGAATACATTCAACTTCCTCTTCACTTTTACAGCTGAGCTGTGCCTTTCTTTCCCATTTCTAGTATGTCCTATTTCTTCATCAGCTTTAAATGTTTATCAAACATCACCAAACGGGGTTCCGAACAGTTTACCTTTCTGCCTGTTGCATATGTTCAGTGTAAGCCCGCCCTCCATGATATGGAGCCAGATCAGGTTGCCCTGCACCTCATCCGCATATACATTTTTGGAGGATCCTAGGATTCATTGCAAGACCACCTCATTCCAGTCGTGAGTAGGGATTTAATGAGCACATGGATCCTTCGTTGGGGTATCTGGCGTGTACACACATACTGAGCAGTGCTGGGGTCACCATGGCTTGAAATGCTGTTGACTCTGCTGGGGCCCATACAGTAAATCATGAACCTTTGGGCTTTGGACTAATATGCTTAATTTATACTCTGTATAAGGAGGTACGATTTACTTGGCAGGGGAAATACTGTGACTACTAAGGTGGTTTTCCTAGTTACTGGGGATAACTGCTTTTCTGGCATGGGGTAGTACCCGTGGAGGTAATGTATAGTTAATCTCCCACTTTCATTTCCAGTGGGAAGATCTTGGCTTTACACTTACTTTGTGGAAATAGGAGACTCCTCCCTAGCTTTCTCATGTGGCCATATGGCTGAGGGTAAGTGAAACTTGGGGGCCTCCAAACTCCAAGCCTCCAGACTTGGGCCTGCAGGTAGGATGTTCGCCAAATGATTTGGAAGCGTCTGAAGCCCCAGGTGGAGATGAAGGATGTTTGCCAGTAGTAGGGCCACATCTGGTTCTTGAATGACTCGTAAATTTGGAATGGATTTGGCTGATTTGGCTTGGAACATGAAAAATTGTACTTAAAAATAATATAGATATATGCATACAGTAAAATTCCTGCTATCCGGAATACTTCACTAACCAGAATTTCCAACTGGCTGGACGTGGGAAGGGGGTGGGGGAAAGCTTACACATGGCGGCTGCTGTTGCCACACCACCCTGTGCTGCTGCTGCTCTGCTGTGCTGAGTGCCACTCTGCGCTGCACCCTGCAGCTGCCGCTGCTCCGTGTGCAGCCACTGCCACCCCCACCCGCCCCCCGCTCTGCATTATCTGAAAACCCGGCTGGGTTATTTCAAATAACTTGAGTTTTTACATAACCGGCAATCCCCTTACCCCAGGGATACCGGATAACAGAGGTTGTACCTATAGAGATATATAGGTACAAAAGTGCTGCTTGTAGTGTGTATATGGAGTACCCGTGCTAAAACTTACAGCAGTTTCAAGAGTTAAACTTCATTAATTCTGGATGAGCTAAGTCTATGGGTACTTGTAGTAATTTCCCTATATGCAAGAATAACAGGTATGAAGGTCAGTGTTTTCAGATTTGTCCCTCACTTCTATGTGCTCAGGGATATGAACATCTGACAGTAAGGAGGGGAGAAGGGGCTGCAAGGGGACAAAAGCTGTGGGGGCAGAGGGCAAGGGAGCTGACCCCTCAGATTTATTTTCCTTTCTGTAGCAGTAGGAGAGGGACAAGTTCAAGGCAAATCTCCAATAATTAGATTCTACACATAGAAAACTATAACAAACGTATAACTTTTCCATATATAGAATATAATTTTTGGCAGGCCACTTTATATTCAAGTAAATATGATATGGTACACTTTAAAGCTCGTTTACCATGGCTTTTATCCTTCTAGTATCAACAGCTTAAAAAATAATGAAGTGAAAGTTTACATATTTACATTTATTTAAAGCAATAAGGTTAGAGACAGTTTACAACTCCTTAAATCCTGACACTTACTTCTGATTTTGAGACATGAGGTACATGTGCTTTAAGCCTGAGGCATATTCTTTCTTTAAAAGATTAGCATATACTCTGTAAAGACTATTGAGGACAAGTATGCTATTCCTAATCAGCAAGAGTTCTGTGCTGGAGGAATTGTTTTCTAATAATCCTAGAGCTATGAGGTCAGGAAGTCTGGGGTCTGTTTGTGAGTTGAATGTCTGCACCTTAAAATGGGGCAGTGATACTTGTCTCTCTCTTTTGTGAAGTACTGTTAGAATGTAATCTATTATATAAGTTTGTGATTAGCAAATTACACACCAGGAGTTGTCATCTTGCAGTTCTATGTATCAGTGTTTAAAACCCAGACAGTAAAAACTGTCTTGAGGTTTTGCTCCATCTTTGAATCCCTAGACTATTGCTGTGTTGCAGATGAGTCTTAACAGAAGAGTGCTTTGTAGTATAGTGGGTAAGATGCATCTTCTATCGCTTCTCAAGATAGACAGGGAAGCCAAAAAATGAGTCATGTGGTGAAAGGAAGCCAACAGGATGGAACTTGACTCGGTAGGTTTCTCAGTAGAGCACTCAGCTGGGAAGAGGATATCTGGGTTGTGGTCCCTGTTACCTCTGGAGGGTTTTTTTTAATGCATTTGGTACTAGGCGTCATTGGATAAGCAGTCCGTGGAGCTGGGAGTGTGGAGCTGAAGGCTTTCCCACATTCTCTTGCTTACTCTTCTAGTCCTGTGACTTGCATTCCTGGTGGTCCAGTTCGCCATCTCCTTCACTAGGAATGAAGGCTGTCCCAATTCTATAAATTGGGGGTTTGTCATGTTCTAGGGAGGTTGAAGGTGCAAGTTAAAATCCTCTTGGGTTGAGGAGGGCCTTGTAGCATGTCCTGGGTAAATGCTTTAAGCATTATGCAGAATGGGGAATGGTGTCATCACCATCCTAGGCTATTGTTTTTAGCTGAACTCAGTACTCTTCTAGGTTGTGTTGTGGTCTGAGCCTGTTGTGGCTACTCTGGGGACTTCAGGAGAGTTTAGTTGGCTCCCAAGCACCAATTTGGATTGCTGTGGAGCTTAGAGTTAGGTGCCAAGCTGCTCAAGCTCAGTCACTTCTGAAAATGCCCAGGACACTTAAGTATAAATGTCTAGGGAATTTTGTGTGCTGAAATAGAAACACCAAACCATGTTAGATGCCTAATACATATTGTGGTTGCTAAAGCAAAGCCAAGCTGCATAGCTTTTTGTGACTTTGCTGCCCTAATTCTGCTTAAGTTCTGTTTCAGTATCTTTGGCACTACTTCAAAGCTGGCTCCAAAACTTACTTGCCTTCATAAAGCCCTGGATATCTGCCAGTTATGTACATAGCTTGTATTATTGCATTTCTCAGCTAAAGTGAAGCTGTCAGCCAGTCAGGAAGTAGAATGACTGTCTTTTTTTTTTTGTCTGTAAACTTTTTATTATTCATGTGTGTAAATGTGGTGTGTTCTGCTCTCCTGCTGTTCTCTTTTTGGTATACACAACCGTTATTGCAAATCAGCTGTCTTCTGAAATAGCACATCTCTCAGTTCACCACGTCTTTTTAATAAAATGCTAACATTTTTCACAGAGGCTAGGAATGTGTCTGAAATGGATTTCTGTGTTGCGCTAGTAAGACAACTTCCTTTCTTAGTAAAGCCTTTTTCACCTGTAATATAAAGATCATAAATAAAGTCACTTTGAAGTGACAACAATGATCCCTTGCATTAATTGGAATGAATTTAATAGTTTATAACCTTGGGAACTACAGTATTTCTATAGAGCAGGGCTGGCTGGTTTCTTAGCAGCCAGGGACCGCAGGCAGTACCAGAAAAAGACCTGGGTGCTTCAGCCTCCCCCCCCCCCCAATCAAGACCTCCCACTACTATGTGCACAGCCCAGGTCTCCCCCATCACATGCACAGCCCAGCTCCCTCTTGCAACATGTACCTGAGCTCCTCTTCCTGGCCATGTGTCACATGCCCAGGACAGCCTGAAACTCCCTGGCCATATGCAAAGTACTCCAACCCCTCTCCCCTCTGGGAACATTGTACAGGCAGCCAACCTGCAGCACACCATGCAAGGACCCTGGATCTCTCCTTTTCTGAGCATGGAGCCCAGTAGCTTCCGACCACGCACATAACACTGGAAGCCTGGCCCTCTCCTGCTGCAGTGCCCTGCACCCAAGAGTGGGAGTAGGAATTGGAAGCTGGAGGAAGGAAGGAGAGGTTGGAGGCTGGCTGCAAGAGTGGAGTGGTAGCTGGGATTGGGGGGTGATGCATAAACCTTACCGCTGTCAAGGCCCCAGTCAATCAGCCCAGCTATAGAGTGTGTATGGGGGAGGGAGGTTAATTCATGGTTACTGATTAATTATCCACTTCATTCCTGTTTGTCTTATACTTGACATATTAAAGATGCATGCTCCAGGTATCTGAGAACAGTCTGATATGTTGTCGCAAATCTTGAGGCATGCCATTATAGCTAAAGAATTTTAAAATGGTTGCATTATTATCAGCCATTCAGTAAAAACATGCAAGACACAAAGATTTTCCTTCTTCTATTTTTCTTACAGGAAAAACGTGGCCTCCGTGAACTGAGAGTTCTTGAAAGCCTCAAGAACATGATCTATGAGACAAATAACCAAATTCTTCCGAAATGTGAGCAGGTGATGCATGACAGCCTGAATGAAGCTTTCAAGAGATGTAAGCAAGAAGCTCTTTATTCCTTTTAAAATATTACATTAAAGAAAACAATTTAAAGTACTTTGAACTTAGCAGTGTTAGCACAAATCATATTTTATGCTGGAATTTAGTTGAGTCATTGATCATGATAATGCTTAATTCTCTGATCCGTACAACTTTAGAAGCTGTAAAATAAATGTATTTCTGCTCTATTTTCCCCTAATTTGGCTTCTGTTAATGTTATTCTAAAAGCTTCCATTGAATTCACTAAGAGTTTTTCATACCATAGAAGGGTAGCCAAACTTGCCCTACATATTTGTAATGGGAGGCAGTGTCATCAAGTAGATAAACCACTGGACTGAGCTTCAGTTTCTTATATTCAGTTCCAGACTCTGCCACAGTGCTGCTTGGGTGCCCTTTGCCAAGTCACTTAGCATCTCAATGCCTCTGTTCTCTGATGGGAAGTGATGATACTGACCTTTGTAAAGTACTTGGAGATCTACAGATGAAAAGTGCTATTTAAGAACTAGGTATTATCCCAAACTTTGTATGTCTGCGAAAGCAGGCTCCTGTTATTACTATGAAACTGGCATTGGTACATTCTTGTTAACTGCTTACTTGTATGCAATCATTTCTCTACTGAGGCCCCTGTCTTACTAATTTTGTTGGTGCTTTTGTATTCTATACTTTCATATCAGCAAGCAGCACAGTTGCCCGATTCAGGAAATTAGGTAGTAACCCCAAATTTTAATCTAAAGAAACAAATAAATTGTTTGCCAGGTGTGTTCCCATTCCCCCTCCCTTCCCCACTATTACTTTATGCAGTTTTTCACCTCTAGTATGTTGCATAAACATGCTATATAATCTTATATGGATTTATGTGGATCCTGACGTGTATAGGCCTGTCTGCTCTACCCAGCACTGCTAGGGAGAGGAGCAGTGGAGTAAGCCATATTCACTTTGTGCATGTTAGCTTCTGAAACTGATGTCACTTACCCAGCACCACACAAGGGAGGCTATGGGCCAAGACCAGGAGAGTGAGCTTATTAGCATGGACCCAGTGTTGCATCAAACTGATTCCATTCCATCTGTTTTCAGAGTTTCACCTTGGTGCTCGTTAGGACTGACCTGGGGAGATATGGGGTGCCCATAAATTAGTATGCTTGTAATAAAGGTGTTAAAAAGCCTTATTATGTGATGTTGTAAATGAAGCCTGTATCCTAATGTATTCTAAAAGGCAGTGCAACCTGGCTATCAGTACCTCACCTGTGAATGTTTTAACACTGCAAGATAATTAAGCTGTAATATTGCTTTAAGGATTATAGAAGCGTAATTGAGATTTCAGGAAATTTAAGTTGTGTTTGTAAGAGGAGTGCTTTGATGAAAAACGAGTTTATTTCACTCTGCCCAACATGTAGAATATGGTTAAATAAATCTGAAATTGGCTGTGAATATAGTTAATGTTATCACTAAGACATGTTCATAGAGCCAGGATTGACTGGCTCCAACTGAATTTTTTTATTTAATCATGAAAAATGGAGAAAAAAAACCCAATAACAAAGAAACAACCAAAACATAGTATTTGCCCTATCTATTTCTAGTCACTGGTTTATAAGATGGTTTGAACTTTTCTGAGGTGCTGAGTTAGGGTACTGTAACTTGTCAGCAATATTAAGGAATATGGGTATAAGAGAAGTTGGCTGCCTTTCTATATTGGCTCCTGGAAAGCACAAGGGCACAACTTTAGTAGTGTGTGTCCCCATAGTTAGCACTGTAGAACACTTCCTGCAGATATTGGCAGGCATTTTTCCCCAGGTAAGCGACCCCAGTTGGGGGGAAAAAAAACCCAGTCTTTGTGTACAGCGATACTCTTGCAGTGGGCTCTGGTGTTGAAGCCATTTTCAGGCAGGCTTCCCTTTGACTTAAGACAGCTGATTAATTGACTGCAATTTGTTTATTTCAGTGCAGGCAGCCAGCCAAAGGATCCACAAACTCCAGGAGAGGGAGCAGGGAGAAAGAGAGGTAAAGACATATAAGTGAATTTATAATATAACCTAAGCATAAGACCCTCAAACAGCAAGCTTATTTGCTTACCTACAAATCCTTCAGTGAAGTAAAACTTAGAAATACATTTTTATTGCAACTTGCCAGAAGTACGACTTCCTTTGGAATGACTTCTGCAAATGTAGAGGAGTGGGATAGAGCAACCAGAAATGTGTTTTAGGAGCACAAAGGTAATGGAGCCACCAGCCCTTCCTTTTACTCTCTCAACATATGGAAACTTCTTTTAAAATATTTTTCCTCTTCAGTATTTTTCCCTCTTTGCTCAGAGTGTGGTATTTGTCACACAGAAGTTTTAAAAGAAAAAAAAACAACCCCTTTCTGTGGAACAAAAAACACCCACCAGCCCACCAGAATGGAAATGTAAAGCTTTCCTGGGTAGTTGAAAACATTGAGCATATTATATGTATTGCTTGCTGAAAAGGAAGCATTTCATACTTGTGGATGGGTTTAATGAAAAGCCATATTATAGGAACATGTGAATCATTGGAATCCCTCACTGTGCTGCACTTTGCTTGTTTAAATTACATCTACTCTAAGCCTCAGATTTGGAAAATAATACAAAAATTAGTTTCCTCTGGCACTTCTAGATTTCCCTACTGCCCCTTTCATAGTTGTATTCCATTGTTATCTTTTACTTGCAGAACTGAACTTCATAATTCTGTGGTGATTAAGAAAGTTATCAAAGCTGCTATTCTAGCCCTCTCTCATTAAGTAGAACTTGCAGTGATGTGTGACGACAGATGTTTGCATTTTTTCTTCCTCTTTTCAGAATGTCACACTTTGCATGGTCAATTTTGAAAAGATAGCCGTTTCATATGAACCTGAGTACTTTATAATGTCAGACCCTGCTAGTGTGTAGACTTATTATATTTAACACAGCAGTGTAGATAATTATAGAACCCCTTGATAAAAAAACTAATCGCTTTTATAGTTCTGCTGCTCTCTTTTTTTTTAATGGAACTTAAAAGGTAGAGTGCACTTTTTTTCAAAATATTCCTTGTATTAAACCTCCGTTCTCAAATGGTGACACTATAACTAGAGCAATAGTGAATAGCTACCATTCAGGCTTCATGCATGTTGTTTTTAAAGTTTTCTTTAGTAAAATTTTAATATCTTAGGTTGAAACTTTCCTAGTCTGCTCCATACTGGCAGGGTGTGTGTGTGCATGTGTGGTGTTTTTTATTTTTATTATTTTAATTTGCTTGTTTCAGTCACTTAAGGGGAAACATTTGTCCCATTCTTCTCTCTCTCATTGCACTTGGAAAACAAACTGCTTTTGGTTGGGGGGCGGTGGGGGGTGTGCATGCATGTGCACACACATGCACACTTTTTAATAAAACTCAAAAGTTATTAGGAAAATGGCTTTCACCAAGGAGGGAAGTGCCTTTGGGGGTGCCAGGAAAAGCTAGTCTTCTTTTGCATTTGAAAAGGGATCTCTCCACTTGTGAGCTACCTATGATGCAATTTCTTTCAGTTACTGGAATCTACCAGTTAAATGAAGTAATGCTACACAGTGTACACACATAGGTGACTGGTAGGAGGGGTATGGGGGGGGACGGACACGTGCCTCCCCTGACAGAGCCATCCCCCACTGCTGACGCCGGCTTCTGTGGGTGCTCGCCAGCCCCGTCCCCACCACTACTGCTGACTTCTGTGGGTGCCCCCCCAGGCTCAGGAGGCACCAGTCGCCCATGTATACACATGTGGGTAAGTGATACATAAAGTGTTTTGTGTAGATTTTAAACTATCCATTGAATGAGGTAGGGCTCTATCTGCCTAATTGAGTGCTCACCTTGTTCAAGCCAGTGTCTAGTCAGCTAGTTCCAGGATGTTCAGTACTTTTTGTCTGGGCCTTTAAGGGGTGAGAGAGAAGAATTCTTTGTGATACCTTTTATTGGACCCAACAGTGTAGTTATGAGAGTTCTTGAACAAGGTTTCAGGCATGTGTGCCCTTTCTCAGGTCACCTTTGTCAACTGCCACCTCTGGCCTGAGGAGGACTGAGCTGTGTTAATTCATCCCACTGCTGCTAAAGGGTTGCCAATCCCTACACTAAAAGATTTAGATTTTGTTGACTTATCAACTCTGACAGCTCAAGCAACAGGCAAATAAGGTCTGAAGGACTGTCCAACATCATAGGCTGATTTAGTAATTGGTTATGACCGTCCCCCAAGACGCATCTTATGAAAGTCCAGCAACACCCTGACTCAAGTGTTGCTTCAGAAGGCAAAGGAAAGCAAGCAGCAAGTCAATTCAGGTGCTTTGGTAGTAAGCAGCAAGCACATGGAAATGCCTAATAGGAAATAAGACTAGAGTTACAAGGCAACAGATGTTTTTGTCAGTTTAAGATTTGCTCGTCAAAATATTTTTCCTCTTAAGCTCAAATTGTGAATCTTCAACTAGAATGCAACCCCTTATTAATAAAGCTGCCAATCTTCTAGAGGTGCAGACAGATCAAATGCTGTAACAAACTGGTAACTGTTAAACAGAATTAATCTATTACAGACATCAGGATTTGTCTAAGATTGACAGCTCCTTATTCCTGAAGTTATCCAGAAAAGGAGATCGAAATATTTGGGCCATGTGCTCAGAATGAAGTGAGATTATGCCACAGCAGCTGCTTTACTGGACATCTAAAGGACTATCTAAAAGGAGCCAGCCAAAATACTTTAGATTGCACATGGTAGAATTGTTGTGGATTTCCAGTTTTTTTTATTAAAACAAGGAATAAGGTATGGGGTCCTGCAGACAACAACTTCATTCAGTGGGACCCTGCACCAGTTTATCTATTTTGTATACTGAAGAAGGCAGAATCTTGTGGGGCAAAATTTAACCACGTAACTAAGAAGTGTCATAAACGGGGATCTGGGTTTTCCATTTCCCACAGAATAACAGACAAAATCATGGATGTCTCATTTTTATCAAAGAAAATGTGGATTTTCCCTTTTAGCAGAGAAGCCTGCAGATTTCCCCCTTTTGCAAGGAGCTCTGCAGGCTGGCTGAGTTCCAGCCTGCAAGAGCTGATTGCAAAGGGTCAGGAAACCCCCAACCCTGCCCAGAGGGGGAAAGGGCAGGGCCTGAGCCTCTCAGTCAGCCAAGGCTGGGCTGAGGCTCAGTCTTTGCTCCTGGAGCCTAAGATAAGTAGGGCTTGGGGGTTGCAGGGCAGGGCTGTGTGGGGAGCTGGCTGGAAGCTAAGGGAATGAGGAGGTGTTGGGGAAAGACATGGAGTGCCTGCCAGCTGGGTGGACACTCTGGGCAGGCAGGGATGGAGCGCACCCCGGGATACGGTGGCGGCTTCTTACCTGGAGGAGGGGCGCAGTGGGTGCCACCAGCCCTATGCGGCATACCACCGCTCCTCCCTGCCCCCAACCTCAGCTTGCACCTTGTGCCCAGGATCATGGCTTGGGGGGCGAGGGCCACAGTGACCCTCTGTGGTCTGGACGTGCACCGTCCGGGGTGGGGGGTTCACACATGGCAGCCGCCACCGCGCTGCACCTCCTCTGCCACCCCCCCACGCTGCCTTCCCACAGCCAGCCGCACGGCTCCACAGGCATGGATCTGCAGGCAAGTGGCGCGGGGCACAGTGGCAGCGGTATGGTGGCAGCCACCGTGTATGGGCTGCACATGTGCCAGCTGGCTTGCCAGCAGGTGGGGAGCTAGCATGCAGCGGTTGCCACCGTGCTGCCTTCCCACAGCCAGCCGCACAGCTTCACAGGCATGGCTCTGCAGGCAAGCGGCGTGGTGGTGGTGGCAGTGCTGGCTCACACTGCGGCTGCTGCCACGCCACTTGCCTGCTGCACGCTACATTGCCTTCCACAGCTGGTCGCATGGCTCTGTGGACAGGCGCTGTGGTGCAGTGGCAGCTGCTGCATGTGACCCTCCGCCTTTCCCCCCACCAGCCAGCTGGGTGGCATGCAGCCACCACCCTACGCTGCCACGCCGCTTGCCTGCGGAGCTGTGGCCATGGAGCTTGCCTGTGGAGCTGTGCGGCCAACCGCGGGTAGACAGCGCAGGGCGCAACAGCAGCAGTGCAGTGGTGGCCGCCGTGTGTGAACGCCACTCCCCCCCTCCGGCTTCCCGTTTGCAGCCCACAGAGGGGCACTGCTGCCCTCTCCCCCAGCTCCACTTCTGGGAGCGGGCACAGACACCTCCCATTGATCTGCGCGCCCCACCCCACCCCGCCCCTTCCCCCCCATACCTACTTAGCTGCTGGGGTGTGCACCTGCGTGTGTGTGCCTGCATGTGTGGGTCTGTGTCTGCCTATGTCTGGGGGACTGGGAGGCTGTTGTCAGGGGAGTGAGGGGCACCAGTAGGGTTGAGGAGATTGTGAGGGGCTCCAATAGGGCCAGGGGGGCTATGGAGGGCATTTAATTTTAAACACACATTTTGGGTTTTTTGTCAGAGAATTTGCGATTTTCTTTTTATCAGGGAAAGCCAGGATCCCTGGTCACAAGGCATTTGAATTGTCACACATTTGGATTGTACTAGGCTGTTGACAGATGTTACTTTTGCAGCACTTATAAGAGTTGAAGGGAAAGATGTGTGACTCCCATGTAGTGCTACAAAAATGGTGAAAATGCTAAGAAATGTTTCTGGGTGAAACAGGAACAGCTCTGTAGTGCTACGCTTTATAGTGTGACACGTAATGTCTAAACCAGGCGTAGGCAATGTTTTTTGGCTGGAATGCCAAAAAACCCCACAATGTCTACCTTGGAAGGTGCTGGAGTGCCAACATGCTAGAGCCCGGAGCAGCTGTTTGCAGCCTGCTGGCTGCAGCCACCCAGAGCCCATGCCCAGGCAGCCTCCTGGCTGCAGCCGGCCCACGGAGCCTGGTCTGCTTGCAGCAGGGCTTGCAGCCTCCCAGCCGCCTGCTGGGAGCAGCCTGAGCTCCCCGGGCTGGTGGTGGTGTGCCAAGCAAAATGGCTTTGCGTGCCATACTCGGCACATGTGCCGAGGGTTG